ACTGACAGTCTGTAAGCACAGGGCCCCTTTGCAGCCGCCGGGCTGGATCAGCCCCGCAGCCCAGAAGCTGGGGCTCACAGCTCACGTTTCTAGTGCTTATGATGACTAATGTGAAAAATGTCACCGGCAGCAGGTGTGAAATCTGCCAGCCATGTGGCACATGTGGATGCTCATAGGGTTCTACAGCGCCGCCGGCATTCCGGAGCGACCGGGCCAAGGTGCTGGGGCAAGTGACGTTAAACTAAAAGTCCACGCTGTTCCGGATTACCGATGCTTAAATGGTTTCTGATAACACATTTATACAGAGCATTTAGAAGTACAGCCACACACTCACGCAAGAAAATATGGGGATCGACATAGAAGAACCGTCGGCTCTCTTGCAATGTGGGTGACAGCGCTTGACATTATGTCGAAAACTTAACCAAAGCGAAGAAAAGACATTTTCCCCCTGAGTCCTGCGGTGGGTTAAATACCGATAGCAATAACTGAGTGAGATTCTGTGTACACTTTAACTTCTCCCAAGAGAGACACCCAGACAGATGATCATTTGACTAACTGGGCGCAGAGGCATGAAACTCTGCCTGCAGAAGACGGTTGTGGCAGATCAGGTTTGTACCACTGCCTGTGGTCATATTTATCAAGAGTGAGAAATCATGTCAGGATTAACTCATCATCTAAATAAACAACCCACCCCTGCCCCTCCTCCACCCCTACCAACACACGTTTACCAAGAGACCCAAACAAAAGAGCATCTGCCTCTGCAGGCAATAATGCAACAGAATCATGCCAACAATGTAGCTATAGCCAAACGTCTGATGCCCTGTTTTCAGACTGGAGATAATTATACTGACAATGAAACAATAACAGTATTGAAAGTAACTGCCAGCTGACTTCCGTTTATCTATTACTCTTACATAAATTTGTTACAATGTTTCAAGTAACATGAAAAACCACAGTAATAATATCAAGGAATAAAAAGACCCCAAGGAAGCATGACAATCATAACTCATTATGAACACATACCCATGTATCAGGCTTCCTTTCCTTTCTGCGAAGGTCTCCCATCTTCACCGTACCAGGAACCATTGGTAGGCCCATATTCTGTCAGATCCTTCCAAAGTCCATTCCCTGACAATTCATCCATCTTCAGCCTACTGATTGCGAATTTATGACATTTCGTCAACTGTTGTATTTAAGAACCATAAAAAATAAACACGCGTCCAGTCGTTTATTCATGTTTTGATGTTGATCCACCCGGCCAGTTCTAGACACTTCAGTCGGAATTATAAAGTGGCTCTGATTTTTTTTCCGCAGCTCTGCATTTTGCTCTTCTGTCCTGTAGGCTAATTTGTGAATCAAAAACCTGATGCTTCTCGATTTAAGTAAACCGAAGTAATATGTTAGTTGAAGTAGCTTATAGTTTTCATTTATGTAATACTTCTGAATCTAATTAGCGTTTGTGAATTTATTTACAACTGGGTTCCCACCTTACAGTCACTGTCACAGTCACAGTCCCCCCTTACAGTCACTGTCACAGTCACAGTCACAGTCCCCCCTTACAGTTACTGTTTGCATTATTGATAAATAGGGCCTAATAAAACAAATAGGCCTAAAGACAGTGTGGGGTTAATAGTACTTAAATATTACATCTTCCTCAGTCTTCTCTGGCACATTAATGTGTAAGGGCCCAGTGATGTGGAAGAACACAGTGATGTGGAAGGGCACAAAGACACCCTCCTGCAACCTTGCAGTCATATATAACATCCTTTTTTCATCTGATGCCATGAGATAAGAAGCGGAACCATAAATGTCGGGACATGAACCAAAGAAATGTAACAGTCCGTGCTCAATGTTTTCTTTTATTTGACTGTAATAAAATCATTTCTGTTTTGCAGTTTGTTCTATTACATACAGAAACTTTTGCTTCAATAAACACATGTAGGCCTATAAAGAAACATTGCCTTTTTATGTAACTGTCAGGTCTGTCTATAAGTATGATTGTATATTTTTTCCTAGCAGACTCGTGTGAGATCGTTTACCCAGCGATTGCAACTGCGCACCAGAAAACGGGAGCGCTGATCTCCGCCGCCGTGACATCCCGGCCAGACGTCTGGAAATAGCCGCAGCGCGAGCAAATAAAAACAAACAACGTGTTGTCCGGCCCCAGTCCAAAGGGATGAGGGAGGTCAATCTATTTATGCGATCAACAACACAGACGGACACTCACACCCAGGGCTGTGATTGGGTGTTCCAGCGGGACAGCTAAATAAAAGAAAGCGAGGAGGTCGAAGACTCCAAAAATAAAGGGGACCAAGGTACGATGCCAAAACCACGCTCTGTACACGAGAGCGAGAGAGGAAAAATAACTATTTCCGGAGTAACTTAGATTGCGCACAACCTCTCGTTTTCATCAGCCTATTTATGTAAGTGGTGTAATGAAATCCTGACCAGATTGGATCATGTATATAAATACACGTGCGCCGGACACACGTGTTACTGCGTATAAGGTTAATATGTGCTTAATTTTACAGCTAACACAACAAACGCTGAGTTTAGTGGCATTAATTAACTAGAAAACGTATCAGATCCAAAGAGATAAAATGTATAAACTTAAATGTAGTATCCATCTTCGTTGTGCTCTATGGCGTTCCTTAAATTTATAGAACGTAATGTAGTAACCTTTGTCTTCCATGATGTCTCTAAAGTTTATTGCGAACCGATGGAGTCTTTCCGACGGCTGTAAGATGGAAAATCATTTTTCGAACACAATCCCTCCGCCCCAATCGCTGTAACCTGAATCGTGAAAATTCGACCACGCAGAAAAACAGAGAATCCCCGTTGTCCAAAGACAAGCACCCCCAAGACGGCTTTCTGCGCCTACGGTGTGTGTCTCAGGCTTAAGTAAATAAACTGAAAAACTGCAATCATAGTTTTGCAAGCAATTCAATATATAAATACAAAAACACATGAATACACAAACAAACAGATAAGTAAGGCGGTAGCCTATGTGCCATTCATTTAACAAAATAATTCATATATTTTAAATTCTCCATCTCTACCACCGTGATTTTCGATTAATGAATCTGAACAAATAAATGCTTAAAAAAAAACAACTCAAAATGATCTCCTTGGGGTATAGCCTACATCCAGTACCGAGTTTGAAGGTCAAAAGTGTCGCGAGCAAAGGAAATTAATGCACTTTGATCATTTAAGAGACAATCGAATATGATCGGCCTAATTAAAATGACTGTAAACGGTTTTGATCGACTTTACTTCAGTTGCACCAATACGAATGAATAGCTGGTTGTCCAGCCCGCGAAGGCACGCATCGTGACAACTGGCTACGACTTTCTTATTCCTACTCCTTAAAAGGACAAGAGGGCCTGTGTGTTTTAGGGTTATGTGATTGGCAGCTTGGTTCCAGCTCCAATTAGCACTCTGCAATTTATGGCCCCCCGCTTTCGGATTATACGGTAACTTCACAAATATTCCTGCCACGGAAGCCCGGGCTATCGGGTGTCCGTCTCTCTGCTCCGTCTTGACGCTGGCAGCCCCTCTCTCGCCTTCCGTCACGCGCTGCCGGTGCGGGGGCTCCGGCAAACTTCATCGCGTCATTGGACTATCTGGGAAAGGTCGTTCATTTATATGTACATATAAAAAATAAAATGCAATTTCCAAAAGCAGGGTGGAAATAAGTTGGGGAAATAATTACGCGCGAAAGAAACCCAAATCTAGAGGTGTCGTTATGCGCAATTTAAGACACCACTCAGTGAGGTGATTCTAAAAATGAATCACAGCACTGAAAACAGCCTGTCAGCCTGAGTACAAAACAGCAATTTTAGCATTGTCCAAATAAATTAATACTGCCCATAAACCTCATGTAAATGTTTCTGAACGAGTTGCTAGAAGCAATATGAGTTTTTGCTTGTTTTTTAGGTTTTCCAGTGCATAAATCTCTCTGCGTTATGAATTAAACTAGCTGAGCCGGGGGCACGATTTCCCCGTTTCTTCCACGACCGTAAGGGAAATCGTCTTTCCACACAACCTCTCTCTTCACTCATCGATTTTGTCAGGTCTTGACATTTCTTTGCAGCTGTCCGGTATTAAGCTATGAAATATAACAAAAAGCTCAGCTGAGACAGAACATATGGTGGCTCAGTCACACTTTAAATTTCTCCCTTTTCTTTCCCTATTATATTCAAGTACATTTTCCAAATACTGCATTATTTTAATGAACAGCGAGGTTATGTAAAGATCGCTGACTATAGCCAGGTTGCATTTACTTGGATTTTAGTTTAAACATCTCCTTCCAGGACATATGGCTTATCCTAATACTTCTGTCACCGACTGTGTTCATTCCCGGGAGGGCAATAAAACCCAATTACCTTCCCTTTAAACACAAATACACGCAGCACAAAGCCAAACCGCTTTTTGAAATTTAACTACGCTTACAACTTGATTCAATCCATCTGCATTGCAGCTCACGCCAAACCTCGAAGGGCAAATTAAAGCTGTTGTTTTCACACTACAAACAACGCGTCAAATATTAATGGGAAGGTGTCATGAATATACGCCAGACAACAGTATCCGTAGTGAAACGGTAACTGTGATAATAAGCGTTAAATTATTAGCAGTGAAATTATTTACAATTAAGCAACTAGTTCTTTGTCAGAGCGGAATTCCAGAAAATGTGAGTCACATGAAATTAATGTGAAATAGCTGAGATATGGTTAATGCTGTATTGGCTCGTTCCTGGCTTTTTATACGTTTAAAGGAAATGAGTATTTCTTACAGCTGTACATATTTTACCGAACAAGGGAAAACGATCGAAACTCTCCCGCTCAAATGACACGTGGGCCACACAAACCTGGAGCTGATTTGCGAAAAGGACTCGAAAGTTAAATAACGTATCGCGCTTATATACATTTTCTACCATTAAAAAAAAGCAAAGCCATGTGTTTGTCTTCGCAGGCGCGTCCATGGAATAAATTATGGAAAGATTCGCTAGAACTGCATTCTCAGCTTTAATGATCTTGTACCTTCCTCTCATATATTCGCAGGCTAATACAGACAAAATGTAGCATTTAAATCAGGATTTTAAGAGGAAAAAATACTTAAAATTGTCAATATATTAATATATTCAATTTCAAAAAAATGCCCACTAAATGTTAGACATGGAACATGGGCCTACTGACAATGAATATCGAACAATGGAAATCTGCATTATAGATAAAACTCTTCAATGAAACTCTTTCCACTGTTACAAATACCATTTCCTGACCCCCCTGAAATATAGCGTATGTATTGGAGGGCAGACCTCACACCCACGCACACATACACACACACACACACATTAACTTCACACAGATTGACAGAGCTGGCTGAGACAGAGCTGGTGTGTCCCCGTGTTCAACCCCACTGTCTCGCCCTCGGAGCAGTTGTTCATCGTGGGCAGGGAGTCCTGATCTGACAACACACTCCTTGTGTGGAGACCCGAGCACTTGTTTGGTCCGACCGAGTGACACAACGAATGTGTGTCTGTCCAGTTGGAGAGCAGTTGTCAGTAACAGCTGCGGAGGTGCTACAGGCAAAGCGAGCAGCCGCAGAGAACCCCCCTCCCCCCCCACCGGTCGCTTCAGTCATAAAAGAAGTGTCCTCTCTTGGAAATCACTTATTCGTTCTTAATAACAACAAAAAAATGCAGCATTGAACATTTAAAAAGAAAAAAAAAAGTCAAAAAGTAGTTCTGCGTTTCATTGATTGATGCGTTTCCCCACATGTCTCCATGTCTGCTTCATTTGTTCATAAAAACATAAAAGTTCTCATAAAAACATTCGCAGGCTTGTCTGGTTAAGAGGGCTCAGGTGGTTTTTTCCCCCCTCAAGGTTCCTCATGAAGAGGCAGCAGCCTTCGATTCACACAAGGAACAGAGAAGGAACCGGCCTCCAGTTACACCAGTTTGCATTCTGGGGAGCTGTTCTTTTAGAGTCCTACAGCCTCATTCTGTCTCTCTCTCAGGCTGGAGACATGCGTGTCTGTGGCTCACGCTCTCTTGTCCACCCGGGTTCTGGACGGCTTAGCGTGTGGGGGGGGGGGATGTCCACAGAGGCGAAACCTCAGCTCAGGATGGTCCCGCCGCAGAGGGTGTAACGTCGAGCTGCAAGCAAGATTAGAATCTGTTACAGAAAAAGACCTGTCAATATCTACAAGGCAGAGCAACACAGAGCCCAGTTCTGGCTGGATGGGGCAGGGTAGCCCTAAAACCAGTACAAGTCCTTGCTCTTATCCTGGGTCGGGAGACCTAAGAGGAATACAGAGGGGGGAAAAACAGGAGGAAGGAGAGAAAGAGAGAGTGAGAAGGCAGGAGAGGGAGACAGAAGGAAGGAAAAAAAAGGGGTAGGAAAAGAAAATTAGGAAGAGGGAGACAATCATCACTCTCCTAGTCGCTTGGAAGCCCTGAAGCAGGAGAATGTGAAAACAACGGCAACGGAGATATCGGCAGAGCAGCGGCCGGGGATTAGTAACCATTAGGACAGGAAAATACCTTACTGAGTCCAATTACTACTGGCCAAATACCAAGTTCCAATAAGAAATGCCTTGCATACCCCTATCAGTTATCTCAAGGAGTAAGTTACTTCATACGTTAAATGATTCATAACTGTGCAATATGAGTAACTGTTTTTGAAATAGTTCTGTGATACCTGCTGATTTATAGCAGGGTAATGGACATATCTTTAATGTTCAACGCTCAACGGGTTTCTCTGCAAAACAGAGAACAAGACATAAGCGGACATTCCTGATGGTGACTGGGAAGCATGCGATGTGGCAGCCAAAGGTCATTACCTGCGTCCATGTTTATGCTGAGGCTTTGGCTCATGTCGGAGCCGGGTCCCGAGAACGTCCCCGTCCATGCCGAGCCGCCGGCGTCGCTCTTGTTGATGTCACACTGCGGGGTGCCGGGCGTGGGCACTGTGGCGGGCGTGAGCCGGTGAGGCCGGACCGAGGGCACCAGCAGTGAGCTGTAGCGCGGGTCGAAGTGCGTGCCGTAGACGTCGTGAACGCCGGGCCGGGGGTAGGCGGAGCCCTGGGTGCCGATGGGCCCGCTCAGAGAGTACGGGTGGTGCGGGTGATGATGGGTCGGGTGCCAGGCTTCTGGGGGGGCTTGGTGCAGATGGCTGTGCAGGGAGGCTGTGGAGTAAGGGTCTGTGGGGAAGGGTACTTCCACATGACCGGCCCCCAGGGTGCCGCCCAAGGAGCTGGTCACTGACGGCTGGTAAGCGCTGTTCCAGAAGGACGGCGGGAAACTTCTTTGGCTCATGGGGAATGATCCATCTGAAACCGTGGCAAGAAACAGAGAGGCCAAGTTCAAGCTGTGCAGGCCAGCAAAGGACAGGATGCAGAGGCGCAGTGTCAAATCCAGCTGCTGCAGTGTCCTCATGCCGGGAAATTTGTCAGAAATGCAGCAGTAAATATGCTATGGTCTAATTGTTTTATAGTACAATGCTACACAGTCTGAATACTCTACATGTAGAATGCAACACTTGCAGCTTATTTGACTCCCTGCTGATAGTATTTTTATGAGTATATAAGCTATACAAGCTACTCTGATAAAATCAATAACCAACCAATTGTTGGTTTTTCAAAGGAGTGAAGACTCAATCACTGCAGTCTGTTAAATATATAAAGACAATCAAAACTCGACAGCAAGGGTTCTTAATATATTATCACTGCTGGTTGGTCAAATTTAAATACTGTAACTGTATAAAAATGGTTAAATTGTGTCTTTCGAAAACAGTAGTGCACTGTATTTTTCCTTCTGATATAGTTTCAAAAATATATTGTGATAACTCAGATATGCTTGATATTTTTCGTTGTTTTTCATCAGTGACTAGAGATAGATAGATAGATAGATAGTACTATTTTTGCTATACAATGAAATAATATTTGCCTTGTGTGCAGCAGTATTATAGATTAATCAAACTGTTGCCAAATAACAAAAACGCAGCCATTTTTTTCCACTAGAGTAATGCAACTCTGTTATAAAGATAGGCCTATATAAATTATGAATAAATAACAATGAATAAATAAACAAATTCGAAAGCATTAAAAAGTCTTCTCCGGTACACTTCACACTGACCATGTTAGAATAACTATTTTTGATGTCATGGTAAGTTTCGCCTCATAACTGCATACCAACAATTACTGGGAATTTGCGGTAAGGATTGTCACTCATTAAGATAGACAACGTATTTATTACGGGGACATAACGATCTTAGTGCATCCTTCATATTAACCTGGATGTCCAGCTGATTCGGCCAAAGAGAATCATCAAAAACAAACCTTACTGCTGAGCACACGACGTTAGGTCATAGAAATAGCTCGGACGTATTGATTTGTGCAGAGCAGCGGCCGGTTTTGGGGGACCGGGAGGAATGTCACCCATGTAGACGTCGGTTTAACAATTACCACGAACAGGAGAATAGGGGCGTCTTAAAGCATGCTGTGTAATGACCGTGATCAAGTCAGTGTTATGATTGCTGTAGGTTTTCTAAAAGGCAAATTACAGTAAGACACGTGTGTGGGAACACACAGAAATGCATGAGCGCCTAGAGCGACAGTAAAATTTGATAAATACTGGTAAGGCGATATTCAGGATATAGTACATGTTTTCAGACTCAACATTTTTTTTTTTTTATGCGACAAACATTTGCATGTCAGTCAAGAATGACGTCCTTTCATAAACGTAGACCAATACTAATACAAATAATCTTTTTAAATTTGGGACGCAATGAATTAAACTAATTAGCAAAAAATGTTTCAAAACTAAAACTAGAAAACACAAGTAAAAACCTGTTCCCTGTTAATCTTTCTAGAAGTCACCGGTAATTGCTAGTAAAGCAGGGCTATAGTTTACAGCATAACGTTATTGTATTTCTTATACTTTTTGAAATTCCGATTATAACGCAAAATGTAATGCGTATATCACACAAAAGTCCCGTCAGAAATACCGGGACTATTCAACGTTAAAACATTTCAGCAAGCGGAGATCACTAAAATATACTAATTTAAACCGTGATTCATATTTTCAAATTACGTTGCAAAACGAGAACCTCCGGGTTTTATGCTTCAGTTTAAATTGCTTTGTATAGAGTTGCATAGTCTTGTAGGGGTACCTCCAGATAATGATCTTTAATTCTGAAATACCACATTCTTCAGGCACACACCCCCGTACGCAGGAGACATTTTGGTGCAGTATATGGATCCCCATCTCTCCGGGAAGCAGTACCTCGTGTGGGCTTTGCACTTGCGGAGCTGGAGACGTAGGTGCCGCGCTGGCTAAGCGCGCGGCTGAAATGCTCGTCCACCACGGAGCTGATGTCCCCCTGGAAGTAGGTGAAGAGCACGCATCTCGAGTTGATGTACTCGGCTTCGGGGGGATGATCCTTCTCCCGCGTACAGTCCTCTTCCTTTATCGTTGGTCCGGAGAAAGAGCTTCCACCACTCACACTATCTTGCGCTTCTTGCATCTTGGAGTAAAATGCTAGTTTCTGAAACAGCAGCAACAAGAGTAAGACATTCACATTGGGGAAAAGATAGGCTGTTTGTCACAGTCTACAAAACAAAGAAACACAGTGTAACGCTTTTGTAACTGTAATTAGCCTCAGCTAAAATTATCTTTTGGGCATTTTTTAAAAGCACATAAATTCGTCTTGCTGATTCCGAGTTTAGTTTATTTCCGTTACATAAAGATTTTATATATGTTAATATTAGCCTAATTTAATATATTTTCTCGGACAATAACGAAAAAAGTTCCTAATGTTCCTAACAGTGGAATTTTGCAGTAGCTTATATTCCGGAATCGCGATGTTTCCAAATACCTCATTTTCCGGAGATTCACACTATTCAAAATATGAAAAGCATCCCTCAGTTCAAACACAGATCTACATTTGTATATTGACTGTGAGATGTTTAAGGAAAGTGAAAGGGGTCTTGAAAAGGAATTTTCAATTCGGAAGTTAACTAAACAAAACATAATGTTAAAACAAATAGCCTACTCAATACTGAATTATACAAACTTATAATGCAGTTTAAACATATCAGTTCTAAGTAATAGCATTTCTAATTCTTTAGGTGCATGACTCAAATGTGTCAGCGATATGTTATAGTCCGAACTCCTAACTTACCTTTGTTTTTTAACTTAACATAATTAACAATAATATAACTAATAGAAAATATTTAAGTATTCAGTTATATTTGTTAGCCAATTCCTTAATGTTATATGTAGGCCTATATACAAATGTTGCAAGTCTAAGAATAGGCCCACATAGATTAAGCGAGTAAACTAAATATCTAATTATTGTAAAGTATTACTTTCAATCATTTTAAAACATTCTGCCCTGAATTTAAAAGCATGCCCATTGCAGGCTACATTATGATCCGAGGTTTATTTTGAGTTGGTCGGAGTGCGACATAATTCTTGTATTAACAGAAACGGCAAATTTGCAGCCTTAGCAATATATACGCCTACTTTAAATGCTTTTTTCTTGTCAAATAAACTACAATTAAAATGAAAAAGTAGAAAAAATGAATCATGGTATAAAACTAATTCTTAAACAGTCACAAGTTAAATAGTTTTATCGGTCATATGCTACATTGTGAAAATCAATATATTTCATATTCCCGACAAAAGAATCATAATCATGACATACCTGGTGATGATAGGGACTGTAGGTTGCAGCGAAATACGGCTGTGGAGGACCATAGACTTGATACATAACATCCAAGCAGCTCATGGCTGAGAACAGCAAAGTCTCAAGGATCGTTATTCAGTGGCATGAAGAGATGCTTCATTGGAATTTGCAGATAAACGTTTCCTGAAACACAGAGGAAATACGTATTTTCAAAGCGAAAAGTACATGTCCCTGTCCCAGGCGCGCGACGTGTCCTCCTCGCTATACTGTCGGTGGAAAAGTAGGCGTGTGACAGACTGAAGCGAAGACGCCAGACTACTGAGGTCATTGACGTTTTAATGCACGGGCTTTAAATCGACCAATCTGAGCAGCGAGCGCTCTCATTGCGTTGTGGAGAGAGAGCGTTTTAAAAAGCGGCACAATTTCAAAAAAGGGAGAAAAAGCATAAAACTCCTTATTGCGGTAATCGCACTGGGGTTCAGGATCGGCCAATGAAAAGCATTAAGTAAATAGGGGTGTTTGGGCGTGCGCAGACTGGCATATTCAGCTATAGAGACGCTGTTATGGTGGCAGCAGGTATCCACTACAGCGTAGGCAGCTAGGCTTGTGACTGTTAGGCTGGAGGTTTTAATACAAGCAAAGAATCATCCACTTTAGCCTTGAGAAAGGTGCTTAGCTGGTTTTGTATGTAACACGCAAATAAACACAATTCGCTTTACCGCCGCTAACGCTTTGTGTTGTTTAAATTGTTAGGCTACTACTCGTGACTATTACCAATAATATAGTTAAATAATAATATCCAAATTAAACCATTAAAAAATGTCTATTTTAAAGCAATTTTTAAAAGAAATTGCCTACATCACAGTGTAATTTAAATGTTATATTAAAAGGTAACATATTTTAAATGATCAAGACGGGTTCTCCAAGCCCTCCTTGGGCGATCTGAGAATATTCCTCATCCCGGTGTAAATCGAGGTTGGCCTAACCATATTAAAAAAAAAAAAAAAAAAGTTGAATCAGAAGCAGACGACTCCACAAATGTTTCAATGGGAGGAAGCTACAAAACCATCCTACACCTACATTATAAGGCGAAGTACAGGCGTAATTCAAACATAAAAACGGAACATGACTCCTATACAGTTCGCAGTTTTGTTTACAACCGCCAGATTTCACTTTTATTATAAAGTATAATGGCGGTAATTTTGACATATCTGAGATTATGAATGTAGCATACGGGACTGTAAATAACAATTACATATAAACAGCCACATTTATTTTGTTTGAGATATAATTAGCTTGCTGATATTATTTATTTTACAACGTTGGAAAAATGCAGGTGTCATTTAATTCCAGCTCTTAACTGGATTCGGTTCAACAACCCAATAAAAAGGGTGAATAAAATTAAATGATGGCTTTTCGCAAATTTCCCAGCATTCCAAAGAGCAAGATTATACTTTACCCCCTCAAACAGAAATTGTAGCCGAACGATACTATGATTCATAATACACCCAGATTCAATATTTGTCTTACTGCACAGAGTGAGTAGCGTCTCATGAAACGTGTTTCAAGTAGCTTGCTTAAAAGTATAAACGAGAGTGCGCTCCAATGGAAATGTACTTTTTAAAAAGGATAAAGCACATTGACCTCCGGGAAGGAAGACATTAATCTGCTTAGCCTGCCGTATAAATAAGACTCATGTGATACGCTTGGTATTTTCTGCAGTTTCATATAACAATGTATTAAATGTATTTCCGATCCTTCAAGACAGGAAAGTACTTCCAAGTTTCTAAAAAATCAAAGGATAAAACATCGGCAGATCATTTCACAGTCCATTTTGTGTAATGAGATCTGCACAGTTGAAATATTTTTGAATTGTGGGCCCTACACATGCAAGTTCGACTCGTTAATGCAGAAATATCGCAGCGACTTCTGTAACATATAGGCTATATAATGAGCATGTGAACCGTTATGAAGAATGTCCGGCGTCCCCGATGCAGTCTGTCACAGTGCGGTAACCAAACTGTCACTGCGTTGGCTCTTAATCAAAATCAATAAATTGAAACATCAAAATAAATTCCCAAACACCTGCCCCATTTACCTCAAATTGTGCTCAAATGATCCAAACGACGATTTTCCGACGCCTTAGTTTTGTCCTTGAAGATAAATACCATTGATGTGTGACTGACCTACGAAGTCTTTCACAACCGTAACAGTAATATATTATTGGATAATGTTACATATGCGTAGTGGTCACAATAGTCCGTATCCTTTGGCACGAGGTCTGTGTAGGAGAGACCACCCTTTTCGCTCAACCTTTGTGGCAATAGCAGAAACAGAATCAAGCGAGAAGCATTGAAACAGCTAAACAACCCAGGCTCCTTGCCCAATATGAAGGCTCAATATTTTATGGTTGAAATTCTGCTGGAGTGCGGAGTTACACCGTCCTGGAATGTAGATGACACACTTCTGCCTAAATGCTACCAACATTGTCCTATGGCAACAAAACAGATCTCTACAGCTACTGCCACAGTTTTTACAGACACTTAAGTCATAAATCCAATGTGTTACTATTAGGGCCACTGACTAATTGAGACAATTTACCTGAACTGAAAGCTGACTTTTACCCTCAGGGATTTGAACCAGACTCTATCCCGCCACGTGTAGCTGATTATCTTAACCACAATACGCTGCAGGTGCAGTTTGACTGAACTCTTTCCCCAGTTTTCAATGGCAAATGACGATGCCTTGTATCACTCATTCGTTTTGACTCCTGTAGTTTGAGACAGACAAAAGCACCTCAGTGTAAACTGAGTGAACCACGGGACAGCGGCCATGTTCGCTTCTTGGAAACAGGTGAAAACAGAGGACACAAAAATCAGAACCCCTACAGGCTGCAAAAAGCAAATCACTGGTATAAATCACTGACCTGAGTAACATGCCACATCGTACAGTTCTGAGGCATGGAAACACGTTCCACTTAAAAGGCCACCATAGGAAATAGATCCCGCGATTAATAACAGGTTAAACTATACTGAACACGAAACGTTCCACCAGAACAAATCTGTCTTTCTCACACGTCGTGCTTGCAGAGTTGGGACCTACCACACCTGTTGGAGGATAATATTACCGCTTGCAATAACTCTCCGTTTCTGATCTGACAGCTCAGAAACAATAGTGGTTTTGCAAAGTCCAATGTGACTTGGCTTCTATTTCTACACAAACAGCTTTAAGATATGAAACCACCAAGTGTTAACACCCGGCTAATAGCAGCGAACTCGTTGTGACAACAGCACATTCAACACATCTAATGGAAAAGGGAAAAGTCCTGAAAGAGGAGCCACCTCAAGGATGGCTTTTATTCTCGCTGTTTTCAACACGGCTTGCTTCCCTAAGACTAAACTCTAAAAACGGAGGGTTTGCCTGGCTTTGTGTCACACACCCACTAAGAAGACCCCTTGGCCTTGTTTTCCCATTTACAGGTAATCTTCCAGAGCCCTCCCAAGGCTGCTCGGAGGGAAGGGAATGAAGATGAAAGGACGAGCTAACAAAAGCGTTGTCAGGACAAGTTTCAAGTGAGGATGGAATGCAAACATGTGCTTTGGGAAAAGGAGATGCAATGTTTTTTTCTTCTTCTTTTTTTTGCAAAGCAGTGATCAAAAGGGGTGCACCCGTTCTGTAATCGACAGTATTAACGTCCGTGTGTCTTCTGGCCGCGGTGAGTGCACTTACGGTGCTCAGTCTTGACCCAGATCATTCTGACCATGAGCCGCGTCCACGCAAAAAGGAGGGTAAAGTGGGCGGAGCCAAAATCCCGGCATTTCAAAAGTATCAGGTTGTTCTGTTGTGATAACGACAATGTCCCAGTTTTTACGACATTACTACAGGGTTATTTTATGAATGATAATCGAATGAAGTATTTCTTTGCAAGCGAGCTGGTTCTCGAACGTAACGTCTGCTCACATTGGCAAAAGCGGCAGCGGAAGATAACAGTTTTGATGGAGATCGGCCCTTCTTGCAGTTTGTTAAAAAACTCACCTCAGTTATATAACTCCGTAATGTTGTTTCAAAGTATCAGGTTAAGGAAACATGAAATAAATGTGAACAGGGACAGTTTGGGTGCCACTCTGCCCCCATCCTATAAAGCTTAACGTCCAGCCCGACCATCACCGTGCCTAAGGAATACCATCGAACACTGATATGACAGGGGCATGAACTCCTGCACTCTGCGTGACCACAGCAACTGCTGGTGCTATGTGTGTGTGTGTGTGTGTGGGGGGGGGGGCAGTGTTTCCAGCCTGAAATGTGAAACAGAGAGTCCCTGTTTCAGGCCGGATATTGTGACACCTGTCTCAGCCGCATTTCCTCCAATGTTTGGGGACACCATTATACACGCAAGCGGGAACAGATGGGACAGTATTGGACTCCGGCGGAAAAGCATTTTGTCTGAGACATGCCTGGGAACTGGTGCTGGAGAATGAAGCAGCACAGCACAGCACAGCACAGCACAGCACAGCACAGCAACAAGGAGATTTGCTCATGACAGGGCATTAGCTTGTCCACAAGATGGGCACAATTACAGTTTATGTACTACAGCTTCATCCAATGTAGGAAGCACGCAGCAGACACATAGTGAGGTAGCAAAATAAGAAGTTTAAACCAACCCCCCCCCACCCCAAATATGTTAGCCACCCATCAGGCACACAGTCACTGAGTAAAAGTATGAGTTTGAACCCCCCCGAAATTTCCTTCTGTTTCCCAGAACCACCCCAACCCCACATGCTGGTGAAACAGCGAAATCTTCAGGAGGGAGCCCCCCCAGGTCAGAGAAATCCACCCACCCTGAAATTAAGTTCTGGCTACAGGCCTACATTCTCCCCCTTGTGCCCTATACTGTATGGGACAGGCTACAGCCCCCCGCCCTCGTCATAGTTACTTACATAAAACATAAAATATTATTCTGAACTGACACCTTTGCTCCATGGTGTTTTTCTGTGGGATCCGAGGACACTTTTCCCAAAATGCTCTTGGGGGCGTCTCACACCTCATGTGTCAGGTGGGCGGGAGTCCATACGCACCGGCGAAAAGTCAGTGTTCAGCCACTCGCACGCGGGATGTCCCCCCCGCCCCGGTGCTGCGGAGCAGGATCTGGCCCCTCTGCCGGGGACAGCTGTCACTGGTATTAAGCAGCGATGATGTTATGGCTGAGGCCAGCACCGGGAAAAAGGAGGAAATCCAGAGAGACAGAAAGGCAAGAGTGTCAGCCGGCGGTCAGAGGTTTCACCAGGCGTCACATCACTCCAATAAATCTGAATTACTGCCAGCCAATTACTATCATTCATGTTTTTCCATCATGCTTCCATTAGTTAGCTTCTAAAAAAATGTATAAAAACAAATATTCATCTTCTGTCCTTGTCATATTGATCTA